AAAGCGACCCCCTCATGTGTTTCACACAACGATGCTGTACCCTGCGAGAGAATGCCACTTCATGCCTTTTCGTCTGCCCCTCTCACCGAGATAGTGTGGAGTGGTTATGTAAGCCACTTCCAATCTCGTTGAGAGGGCGCAGACGAGCAGATTGAACGAGGCATAGCCGCGTCGACGCGTGTCTTCTCCCCCTGACTATCGTTGTCGAAATTAATATTTAAGAGGAGAGTGTCTCTCACCGCCGAGTCTCCTTTTCATCCGTGGTATGCATGAGATAAATACTACATGGGGCATCAAATTCGTTCATACAAATGATGAAAAATCCACCTGGAATGTGAACAAATTGAGGAATATCCATATATTTCTATTCAATGATATGTCGGGTACAGTTTTTCCTATGAGCTGACGACGCAGTTCGGCTTGGTGGGGGTTCGAATGGTACTCAGCCAAGCTCGTAGGTCTCCCTTGGAGGAACCTTTCAGTTTCTCTGGCAAAAAAAAACTTAAAGCTCACTATTACAGTTTGGCAGCTTCTTGTGGTTAGATTACAGATCTGACCAAAGCGAGACGTGCCAGTTAGCAGGAGCCAAAAAAGTAACCAGCGAAAGTGCAAAATGGCCCTGCATGCCGAGCAGTGCCAAACAAGCTTAAAAATTTTCTGCTCAATCGGAATAGTGGGCCCTCAGCGAATTTCCAAAGGAAAGAAAACGAAAAGAAACCGTCTCTATCAAAAATTTATTGAGAGGGTAAAAAGCTAGAACAGGCGGCAGGTATGAGCGAGACGGTCAATGATGTGTGCCGTGGGTGTGGATGAGGCAGAGTGGTTGTGAATCTCCGCCCACGTGATCACCCTGGACTGTGCCTTCAATACTTGGAAATAAGATGTATGAATTGCTAGTTGGTATAGAATCAAAGTTGTGCTCTTATCAGGGTCCTCCTCTTGTGAGATATAACAACCCCCAACTTCAGCGAAAGTTACAGTAAGAGGCGGAGACATACCCATTCACTGACCAATTTACGCCGGTTTCTAGCGAAGACATAAGCTGTTCGTCAGCTTGTCGAAGCCAATTTCATAGCACTGGGGCGAGTTCATAGAGGTGCTGTTTTTTAGGAATACTCAAAAATACCCACGCCACGGCGAAAATGGCGGAAGTTGCGTCACAAAACAATGTCACGTGCGCGACACTTGCACCAGGTCCTCGTTGATCCAACGCTGCACTACAATCTTCTTGCGGATGCTGAGAAGTGTCAGGGGCTGGTTTAGCGCGACGCCATGGCAATTTCCGCCAATGATTGCCGCTAGCCCCTTTGTCCAGTGGTGAAGAACAGGCTAAAGTTGCACCAAATCCGGCCCACCCCCTAACATTCGTGGCGAATGAAACTTTACGCTCACTGGAAAAAAATATTTTTGCCGTTTTGCACACGATGCCGCGCCGAACCACACCCAATCAGAAGTTAGCTACCAAATTGCGCCAGCTCCTTCCTGCACGGTGCTACAGCCATTTTCTTGGGCTTGAACCTCAATTTTTTCCAACACTACAATCAATACTGGCACCCCCAGTCTCCCGGAGGACGCAATTTTAACCTTACTCATCTGCTGCTGCTCGTGCATCGAGCAAGTGAGGAAATCCGTTTAGAGAAATCGAGTAAGGGCTCGTGCACTGGTTCAGCCTAATTGTTCTCGGAAGCCCAGGTCCTAGATTGGAAGCACAGGTCTAAGATTAGAGGGTTCATCTCTAAGTACTAGAGAAGCTCCAGAGGAAACGAAGCTAAGGAGGGCCAAAACGGAGCGTTTTTCTAATCATTCTTCCTCGTTTCCTTCCTTTTTCATTTTTCTTTCCTTTGTTCCTTTCCACACCATCTCAGACAGGAGGCGCGCACTATAAGGAAGACACAATGCTAGGCCTGGCTCCGCCTACACCACGAGCGTGGAATATGCTTTCAATAGATGTTGTAGTTAGTGAACTATTTGAATTCAAAACTGAGCAAGATCTGGCTCAAGAGCTAGAATCGCAGCTTTCATTTGTAGGATTACGGGGCCAATTCCTGCTCGGATCAACAAGGGCTACCACCTCTGTAAAAAAGTCCCCACAATTTGTAGATTACTTGTATCTCTGCCCCCCCCCCTTCACCTAGAGTCACTCAGGGCAAGTACCAAGTACCAGTGCTCTTCAATTTTGAACGGAATGCATGAAGCCTTTCACGGGAAATGAGACCGCCGAGCTCCATTTTTCATCCCTTTGTATCGGCCACTTTTTCCTCAATCTGTTTGTCCAGGAAAAACGCCGGTGTTTCCCAGAAGGCCCATTACGTTTATTAAAGCCCATATTACATTCCATCACATTACATTACTACTTTATGAAACATTACACATGTAGTCTTCTATTAAATATTTGGCGCTATTAGGCTTACGAGGGGTAATCTGCACTTTCAGCTAGTTTTTTTTCTAGTTCATTTTGACTAACAAGTCTCATTCTGGTGAAACTTGCAAACTCTTGCGAACTCTCTGCAAACTGGTAGAAGTGAGCCTTTCGGTTACAAGAATTTACAGGTCTTTACAAGGTAGCCTGACGGGGTTTGCTGAAAACCTCTCGATGCCCCGCCAAGCCGTGCTGGGACAAACACTGTATTCCTTAGTAATAGTTTGAATGAAGGTTATGCGTCAAATCACTGCCCGAGAGACTGCGAAAGCTTCAAATGGTTTCAACAAAGTTCAAGGGAGCGAAAGGTCAAGGAAACCTCTAGACTATTTCGGGTGTGCGACTGCAAATTTTAGTGTCCCATTTTGTGATGTTGAACGTGGAAATATTGGTGGTGAAGGTCAGGAGATCCGAACTGCGGCGATGTGGCGAAGGCCATGTCGCCGCATATCGGATCTCCTGACCCACGAAATTCTTAACTGAGGATGCAATCATTGCTAGCAAACTCACTGGCATCATTGAAGGGATGATAAATCATGTGAGCAATGTGAATCGGTGGTCGAGCCACTCGAAGGCCTTTGTCGGTACGTTTATTAGAAGTTTTGCAGAGCAGCAGCATGTCCGTAAACAGTAAACAATGCATTTCAACCTGTAAACAACGGAAATTATGGTGAATTACGTATAATTAGAATCGAAAAATCATACCTTTGGTCCCTGCCGACTTTCCCTGATTTTCAGATTACCGCGATGAATAACCCGTCGGAATTGTGGTGGTCCCGGTAGAAGTGGCATCGGTGCCATTAGGTCCAATGTTGCTCGACGATTCGGGAACAACTGAAAGCAGCCTGGCATACACAGGAAGTTCTGGGAGCGATTATGGGAGGGTAGGATTTACCTTCTCAAACTCTTCACAATCGACAGCATCATAGCCATCGATGCTCTTCATGATCTCGGCCATTTGTAGGCGGAGATCGTTGTTATTGAGCTCAAAGTTAATTGTTGGGTGGCAGCATCCGTTCGGTCGATCATTGCTAAAAATAAGTACATAAAATGAACTTTTGGTCCCATGAGGGTACGGGCCTAAGAGCGCAATAGTCAATAAAAATCTAAAAAGGAATGT